GATTTGCTTACAAGCATTGTTTCTATGAAGGAAATGTGCATTTGCTACAGTGTCTTTTTCTGAATAATGCTTTGTAATAAGCACTTAGATTAGAAGCAGGGAAAGAGAGATTTCCACCGGCGATCCATCGTGCGGTAGGCTCCCTGGGGCTGGTCCAGGGTGCGCAGCCGACGCGCGCTTGCTCCAGGGACTGCTGGAAGCCGCAGGGTGGCACAGTCAGGGGCTGGCCCAGAGCCACGGACCCAGTGGGGGCCCGCCTGCTGGACTCACAGAGTTGTCCCATCTCAGCTGTGCCCCCAGCTAAGGAATGAGACTTGGGGGCCTTCCTGAGCACTGGTTTCCTTACCTGTAACATAGACGCGCCCCTCCCTGCCGGAGCGGGGACCACTGCGGGCATCAGTGGGGTGGGGTGTGTATTAGTCCTTGTACCCCGTGACACCGAACTGCCCGATGAGAGGTATGATTTCTGCTGCAGTAGCAACAACCAGTGCCCAGAAAACAAAAAGCTGTCATCGCACTGATTCCTATTCACAGTTGCACTGAGAGAGTAACCTATTGATAGAGTGTCCGTAATGACCTCCAGTAGCATGGAGAGTTAGAAACGCCTCCGTGCGCGCTACCGTATTTCTTCAGTTGAGGTTCTGGTCAGTGAAGCAGTTCATCAGCGTCTGCGAAAATCCATTGCATGTAGATCCACATGTACTTAGCAAGAGAGAAAACAGGTATATTTTTGTTTATATCCCTTTTGTTTTAAAATTTCAGTTGGTAGGTTGATCGTGAGGCATATAGTTACGATTTGAAAACCTATGTTGATTTAAAACTATTCTAAAACCTTTAAAATATCATTTAAAAATATCCCCAACTTGTGAAAAAGTGGTAGCCGGTGGGAGTCTGTGGTGCTGCTGCGCCTTCCACCTCGTGGAGGAACGGCTCCTGCCCCCGGCCGCCCTCCCAGGCCTGTCAGGGCCTCCCCCCACCGCCCGGCTTCTCCAGCCTCACTTAGCCACAAAGGCAGTGACAAGACTCGCCCTCCTATCAGAAATCAGATTGTTCATCCTTGTGCACTTTTCCAGTTTTAAAATAGTTAAATCATCATGGATGAACCATTTTCTGTGCTATCTTTGGCACTTTTCTGTGCCCATGCTTGTTTTATAAACTACTTGGCACAAATATCCAAAAATGTCCCCTGAGATTGGAGGTGTTGATGGCTCGTCATGCTCAGAAATTCCCTTGGCTTCTGGTCAGAGGTTAAACAAGGGGGGGGGGGAATGACTTTGCCAACTTTCTCACTACAAGTTAATTTTTAAATATAAATCTACAATTCAACCTAAGTAATTATGACATTTGCTACTATAGTGATATGTGCAGAATATTCTAGTCTTCTTTGGTCAGTTTCTCATAATTAACATCTGCTTACATTTTCTAAGAAGGAGCAGGACTGAAAGAGTGGGAGGGACAGAAAAAGAGATAATTTTCATGGCTTGAAATTCCAGAATATGGGGCACCTGGGTGGCTCGGTCGGTTAAACATCCGACTCTTGGTTTCAACTCAGGTCATGATCTCATGAGTCATGAGATAGAGCCCCTCATCGGGCTCCGTGCTCTGTGGGGAGTCTGCTTAAAGATTTTCTCCCTCTCCTGCTCCCCACCATCCCCTGCGCTTGGGCACATGCGCTCTCACACTCAAAAAATGAGTTTTTGGTTTTTTTTTTGTTTTTTTTTTTTTTTTAATAAAAAGGAGAGAAAAAAATTTCAGAATAGGGTGAAGGATTTATCTGGGTAGCAATTGAGAAGGCCTGGCACAACCTCGAAACACGCACAAAGACCCTGTTGTTGTAGCCCCGTGTGTCTGTCCGCTGGTTTGGAGATGACACCCCCGAGGCGCATGCTGGGGTGCGACAGCTCCAGACTTGTTGTAGGAAGGTGGCCCCTTTGGGGGGTCACGAACCCGCATTTGTTCCCTATGGACATGTGATATGTCATTTTATTGTAAGCTCCCAGTTTCCCCTGAACCTGGTCTCTGAAAGCAGTTGGCCTGACATTCTGTGAGAGCCTCCGTCTGTGGAACCTGTAGAAAATTGCTTCGGTTGTGACGCCATGCGAGCACATAGGCAGCCTACAGTTGCACTGAATAATTATATCCTGTCTCATATGTTAGCATGTTCCTCGTATTTATTACCAGCAGCTTACAGTTTGCTTAAGTAAAATGCAGAAAATCACTGCATTTTAACCAAAAGCGCAGGTCCCCAGCCCCCTCCCCACTGTAACCCATATTACATGATCTTCATAGGCCCTTCTTTGCAGCCTCATAAAAAGCATGGTGAGAAAAAAAAAAAAAAAAAGCATGGTGAGGGCTGGGTAGTAAAGCAGTTCTTGACATTTGAAGACGTTAAAATTGATTTATTGATAACTTTCATAAAATGCAGCTACCATCATAGTAAAATTGGAACCTATTTAAGTGTATTTGTTTTTGTCTTGGATTTTCTTCATATTACCCATATGAAGTGGCAGTCTGTAAGAGCACATTGGCAGTAAGGGACAGGTGCACTATTGCTAGGGACCAAGACACGTCAGGTGCACCGTACCCATGTTTACGAGAAGACACATACTTTTCAACATAGGTAAGTGAGGAAAGCCTGAGTAGTCAGGAGACCAGGGATGTCTTCACCAACTTGTAAGTCTTCAGAGTTGGTTTAGGAAAGTTCATGAGCATTTTCTTTTCTTTTTTTCTTAAAGGTTTTTATTTGAGAGAGAGAAGTTGGGGGGAGGGGCAGAGGGAGAGGCAGAAGCAGGCTCCCCGCTTGATCCCAGGATTCTGAGATCATGACCTGAGCAGAAAGTAGACGCTTAACCAACGGAGCCACCGAGACCCCCCAGCTTGTGAACATTTTCAAATAGGATAATGGTGTATGCACTTCTGAGTTTTAACAATCAGGCACATTGTATGTCTTACCACATACCAGTTAGCATGTGGTCAAGGAGCACTACTTTTGGAGCTAAGATGCTCGTGACATTGAGTGGCAGCTCCATACTGTGTGGCCCTGAGCAAGTTGTCTGCCGTGTGGAGTAATCCCACGTACACAAGATGCCGTAAGTCTCGTGTGCCGTAAGCACACAAGATACCCCGGTGCCTGCTGCAGTCCCACCTGCCGGCTACAGAGTAAGCCCAAATATCCACTCCGAGCTTCCCCTTTCTCCTCTCTTTTAGAGGACGAGTTAAAACCTCGGGTTTGTAAAAACTACAGATGCTTGTTCCAGGCTCCTGGCAAGCATTTTTGAGTGTCTGCTGTGTGCACTGGGCTAGAGCCGTGAAGGAAAATCACACTTCATCTCTGCCCTTGCAGGAAAGAGCCAGGTACCACCCTAGACACTTGGCACAGACTTACTTAGTGCCTGTGTCATACTCTTCCCTGCTTTTTACAGATGAAGAAACCTGAGGCCTCAATGACCATGCGCTCATGGTCTGGAGTCAGGGAAGTTCACGTCTCAGCTCTGCGCTAAAACCGTCTGTGAGTTCTGTAACCTCACTGAGGCTCAGTTTCCCCTGCCGGTTGCATGGGGTAGCCGTTACAGAAGTACGTGTCTCGTAGGGTGCTTTACCTAGAGAAGAAGTACTGTATTTAAGCATGGGATTTAAGGCTTGATCTTTCTGACTCTTCCAGAGTTCTTCTGGGCTGGGCCCTGCAAACCCTTGCACCTAGTGAAGGACACAAAGCCGAACACTATCAGATTTGGGGTGGGGAGTTTGGGGTGGGATAGTACAGATTCATTGCCTGAAGTTGAGTAAGTACCTAAATTTCAGGCAGCTTCTGAATCTGGAGGAAAATGTTTCACATGTTCTTAGGACAAAAGTGGCTAAAGCAAATGGGGCTCATGTCATTGATAATCTGTAGCCCTAAGGGGTGTGTCCTTTGTGAGTCACCAGAAATGGGGCATAAAAGCGTTAAATGGGTACATCTTTCAAAAAGTCACTCATGCCTGCTGCCAGAGTTCAGCGTGAGGATCTTATTTCAGCAACATGTTTAGAAAGATAGTTGGCAGAGAGCAGATGACCTTCACACACCACAGACTTAAGGGGGAGACGTGCTATTTCTGGAGCATCCTTCGTACAAGTGTTGTGTTCAGCCCCCTGTGAAACTGCAGCCCAGCTCACGGAAGCCGAGTCTTGAGAAAGCCCTTTCGGGTTTATTATTTCTATCTCCTCAGGGCCTCTTGGGGTTTAAAATACATCTTTGTATCACACTAAATAAAATGTCGACAACATATACTGCGGTTTCTATTTAAAAAAAGTCCTCGAATTCCTCTGTCCGTAGGTATGGATATTACAATGTGTGGATTTTCTAAATATCAGTTTGGCAGTCATGGTATTCCGTGGAAGAGAAGGTGGGAAGGAAGCTGTGGGCAAAGTGCCTGTGGAATCAGGATGCAGAGGGGGGCCTAGAAATGTCATTATTCGGCCTGGCCTGTTCTCTGAAGCCTGCAAAGACAGAAAACTTTGCCCTTTTAAAAGAATTGAGCTGTTAATACTGAAAGTCCCTGCAGCAGTATGCATATTTCTGTTTGCTCATTTTATCTCAGACCAGAAAAAAGAGCAGCATTTTGGAGTCTGGGTCAAAAACAGTGTCCCCGGAAGCCATGGGCCTCTGAGAGTCACTGGGAGCAGCGAGCCTCTCCTACGGACAGTGTGTGTCTGAACACAGACGCACAACCACGTGCACACACACAGGTCTGTTGCTCCACAAAAGAGCAAGATAAATTATGGGGCCTTTTTCCCCGCTTGAGTATGTAAAGCATTATCCTGTCATCTCTTTCACCATCACTATGAGAGCCACGGGGCATGTGGGTTTCGCACGTGTGCGCCCGCCCTCTCCTTGAGTCAGGCCAGTGGATGTAATGATAAGGGAGTGATCTCAGCAGACTTAGGAGGAATGAGAAAATAAAAGACTGTGTAATACCGTAAATAATCCCTCCTTTACCTGTCGGGTCGTCTTCTATGCGCAGGTGGATTTGCAGCTGCGGTCACCACGCCTCTGGATGTGGCAAAAACAAGAATCATGTTGGCCAAGGTAAGTGTTAATCTAACACTTAGATCACGCAGACACAGCTTGTCCGTGCTCCCCCCAGGGCTCGTGCGTATTGCGAGCACGCGACTGCGGTGTGAGCCTGCTGCGCCCGGCTGGACACGGCCGTTGGTGAGGGGTGCCCACCGTTGTCCCCGTGAGCGGCATCTGTGCGGCACCCCGCCTTCCCGAAATCATGCTCCCTGGCCTCGCATAAGCCAGCAGGGCTGCTGGAGGGCCTCGGCTGTGATGCCATGTTCCAGGTTGCTCTATGTTCACGGCCGACAGACATGAGACTCAGAGTTGCCTCGTTTCCTGCTGTGCAGCAGGTGGGCTAGAGGCGCCGAACTCACACCGCGTTTGGCCTTCACTGGGTCCATCAGGACAGTTGTCACAGTTTAATAACATTTTTCATTAAAAAGAAAAATTGTTACGGAAAAAGCTAGACCAAGATGTCATGGAATGCCATGTGCATAACATCTGGGGCACGACCATAGAGAAGAAAACGTCCTACCCTTAGAGAAAAGTGGGACAGTGAGTGCGGGATTCTGTTACGTGGGTGGACAAGGCCAAACCCGAGAGAATCGCTCCTGTGTTAAATGGATCGTAGTGCTCTTTATTAAACATGTCTATTAGCTACTTTGGCAAGTTTGGACCGTATAGACGGATCAGTGCCTGTTCTTCTCCATGCGGTCACTCTGCTTTCAGTCTTTGTCCCGTGAGACAGCAGTTGGTGAATTACCGAGGTGAGCTCTGCGTCCAGTTTGATGCGAGAACCTAGGAGAGCAGCTTCCTGTCCGTCAGGGCTCACCTGTGGGTGGGAACGGAAGGGCTTCTGGTCTGGTGTGATCCAGATCCAGGAGTCCTGATTCCCGAGAAGCTCCCACTCTGTTTCCAACTGTCCGAGCAGAGGGCTGTTGGGAGCCGCCCCCTGAGGATCAGCTGGGGAATTTCATAAGATAATGGCTTCGTCTGTTGTCTGTCACACAGGCTGGTTCCAGCACCGCTAGTGGGAACGTACTGTCTGCGCTGCACGGGGTCTGGCGGACACATGGGCTGTCAGGGTAAGCACATGCAGGAAGGTGAAACCCCCCTTCCGCCTCTCCATGGGCTCTTCCTGCCTTTAGCCTCAACGGGATGAAACCCTTTCCTTTCTTCCGATCGTCCTGGTTGGGTCTCTATTTACATTGCACCAACATATTTGACATTGCCCGTGTGAGATGCTAGGGCACGGCCAAGTTGATGCATCGTCTAGCCACGTGATCACCAGCCTTGTCCATCTGGATGTTGGAGGACACCCATGTGCCTGCCCACCATCGCCCCCCCCCCCCCGCCCCCCACATTCCAGGCAGCAGCTCTGAGCAAACAGGATTCTAGTTACGGAACGCAGGAATGCAAGCGAGCGAGGGTGACATTTGGAGGAAAGCACTTGTCGATGGGGAGACTTCTCACTATGATCAGTAGCAGTTACTTTCGCCACACCCCTGTGTGTGGCACCTCACTTGAAACCCGCTCTCTACTGTGCTGTGTGCCCCAGACTCCAAACACCGTGTCCGAAAATGCCTCCTTGGCCGAACGTGCTTTCACGTTGCTTTTACCATCTGTACACGTCTCCGTTTTGGGGTCTGGATGGGTCGCGACACAACAGTGTGCGCTTTGGAATGACCTAGCAGGGGTTCTCCTGGGAGAGCAGAGCCGTGGTTGCCTCCTGGAGGGTGGCGAAGGGGGTAGTGTCGTGGCAGGGTGTGGCTGGTGGGGACAGCTGTGCGAGGCAGTGCCACCACCTCTCCCCGGGGGCTGTGGCGATGACTGACTGGTGGGCTGTGTGCATTTGACAGGTCTTTCTTTTGGCCACTAGATAACTGGGCAACTTGAGGCCTCTTGGTGAGGACCCAGGTGAGGTTTTCACGGGAGAATGGCCCCATTCTCTGGAATTTCCAACTGGCAGATCAATTGAAAAGTGGGTCCCGGTGGGTGGTTTTGTTGAATGGGCCAGCTCTGATGGACTGATGCCCGCTGATGACGGGCTTAAGGATTTCAAGACAAGAAGTGGGTGTAACGGGAAGGAGCGCTTGAGCAGGAGCGAGGCAGGGAGTGGCAGAGCGGGCGCCCCTGGGCCACTTATAGTCAATACCGCGTAAGTGAGAGTCTGCTTGCTTGTGCCTCAGACACATTGGTTTTGACACAAATTTCACCTTGAACAATGAAATGGTGTGAGAGAAAGAGGCTCTAAAGCCACTTTTTAGTAGCAGGTAAAAGATTCTCAGTGTTTCAGATAGTTTTGAGCTGCACAGAGATGTTGCGTGTAGTAGCCTTTTTAGATGATAAGTCAAAATGCTGAATTTTACGGCCCTCTTTGTTTCATTGCGGCTCCTATTAGGTTTTATGGCAAGCACCGGTCAGACCGCCACTCTTGATTTAGCTCTGTGGGGACGGGGTGGGCTGCAGTGCATCGGCCTTGCTTGAGATGACGGCCAGATGCGGGTACAGCAGGATGGGCCTGGCCTCCGAGAGCTTGTGGAGAAGGAATTCCTGTGAGGACAGGATCGAGACCAAATCCTCCCCGGTCCCCACTGTGCTGTGTGCTCCGTGTGGTGTAACTGGGCGACACCAGAGTTAGAGGCAGAGGACAGGCGACCTAAACATGCCCAGGGCTCCTCTGTCCGCACTGTCAGCCCTGAAAAGGTGACTGGGAATTTGGCTTATCATCTCGAGTCTGGGCTGTCCCGAGTATGCACAGTGTGGTCCTCAGCAGAGTATCCAAGCGGCCACACCGGTCATTGAGAAATGCTAGTTTCCACTAGCTTCCTACTAACAGGGGGCTAAGAGACACCAAATAATTTGACAACACAATTGTAACTCAACGCAAACAAAACAAAACAAAACAGTCTGTGCAAACATGGGCCGCTGTTGTAAAACTGTTCCTGGGCGCCCCGGCCTGCCTTCTCTGTCTGGTTCCCACACAGCCCCCACGGGCCCTTCTGCCGCCTTGGAGCCCCCTTGTGCGTCTCTGGAGTGTTCTGTGGCCTTGCACTTGCAACTTCCCACCCTGCAGGGAAACGGCACTGGCCTCTCCGGGGCGAGTGGGGACGCTGCGGTCTCTGCATGTTGGTTCTCACGGGGGAAGACCACGTTCTGGCACCTACTTGGGATATGTGCTCTCAAGCCAACTGGTTTCCCCAAAACAGAACCACCACACGCCCTTTCAGCCCAGCAGCCGGGAAGCAGATGGGGAAGCCTGCGCCTCCTGCAACGCACTTTCCTCCTTGTCCTGTTCCTCAACTGGCTTTGTGTGTTCTTTGACCACGCCCTTCATGGGGGGACCGCGGGGCCTGTGTGCACCCCCACTGGGCCCTGTGCCCTCCGTTTGCTCATTTGTTCCCTCGTGTGCTCCGCGGTCCGGAGAACACAGCCCCCTCTGCTCCGGGCTCCCACTGCACAAATGACTCTGCCGTAAGGCTGTAATTACGTTAATAGATCCAGTTGTCATCTAGTGAAACCGTAAACTGCTTCCATCTGCCCCTGCCAGGAGCAGCGGAGTTCATCGGCAGCAAAAGCTGAACCAAGGCACAGGTTTCAGAAATGTCTGCTTGGGATGGGAGGGAGGCTGGCTGGCTTTCATGGCACAGGTGGTCTTCTGCTGACCTCCCTCCTGGCACCCTTCTCTGTGCAGGTAGGGCCAAGAAGGGTCAGCTGTGTGTCAGGCCAGAAGGTCCCAGGGGCCTCCAAGCGGTAATGGGTGAGTGTCTGTCCTCACCTACTACCTCCTGCAAAAAACAGGGTGCATGATGCCGAGCTAAACGACTTTTCTCCTTGTATAGTTTTCATGGTTACTTCTGGACAAGAACAAGAGGTTCTCATCTGAAGTATTTTAATGATGTAAATCCCTACTTCCCTAACAAAAGGGCCCCCTAATGCTAAGTCCGTCTTCCTCAGAAGTGCTGAGTGCTCCTCACAGGGGAGGTGTGTGACCTGTCCCGGCAGCCATACAAAAACAAGGGGGTGGGCGGGGGTGGTCCCTTCTGTCCGCTTCCTTGGCCTGTCCCTGTTGAGCTTACTGTGCTATTTTTCCTCTTAGAAGTTATGTCCTTTTCACATAACCTGGCCATTTTCACTTTTCTTCCCTAGACTGGATCTAAAGTGTCCTCACTGCTAACCCGCTCGTCCTGATTTTTACTGTTTACAAAATACTCTTGGTAAAAAGGCTCAGTTGTCCTAGAAAGACAGGGAATGTTTCTAGTCTTGCCCTCCAGAGAAGGTTGAGGTGTTGGAATAGATGCTCACCTCCTTGCCGTGCTCACGCGTCCAGCTCGGGGAGTTGTGGCAGAACTCACCACGCAGGTGTGTGTCTCGGCCCCCGTGGGCTGCCCACGAGGCAGTTCTGTGCGGTCGCGCTGGTTCTGGCAGTGCCGCGAGGACCGTCTCTGAACAGACCCGTGCGCAGCCACAGGTTGGCTTTTCGAGTGAACCTCCAGTCTGCGTCCCCAGTAATACTGTTCTTTTTCTTTGCCTTTGATTCTTCTGAAGTCGCTCCTCCGACCAGCCTTGTGGGGTGTGTGGGGACTGCACCTTCGAGGAGGTGCTGTCCCCAGACTGTGGCCTTTCTGGTCCTTCCTCAGGGGAGAAGACAAGGAGCGCATGGAGATTCGCTTTCCTGTTGTGACATCACATTTGTGGGCCTCTAAGGACAAAATGCAACCAAGTCCTGGGAGGAGCAGCAGAGCTGTCGGGAAAAGCTCCTCTGGCCCTGGAGCCTGCCTTCCCTTCTTGGGGGGGTGGCACACGCGCCCCGGAGTCAGACCCTGGACTGCTTTAGCAGAGCCCATTTTACCCTCTCCCACAGACAGAAGCGGTCTGGACGTTTTCAGCAGTCCTGTTGTGGGGACAGAGTTAGTCTTTCTTGACTAATTACTCGACTTAATTGCAAGGCTCACGAGTAAGCTGTTTGGTATTTAGCCACGTTAGCCAACAAACAGCTGGGCCCAGACTTCAACAAGTCTACTTGGGAATGTAATTTAGTGCCATTCTGGAAGGAAAAAGCGCATGCTCTAAGTGCTGTGCGGGGTTTAATGAGCGTGGTGTGCTGAGCTGAGCAAGCTGTGGGTGTTGGAATTTAACCTTTTTCACACACTGATTTGAAAGGAATCTTTCCTCCTGCCTTTTTCCTTCCCCAGATTATTTGCAGGTGTCTTCCCTCGAATGGCAGCCATCAGCCTGGGAGGTTTCATCTTTCTTGGTGCTTACGAGCAAACCCGCAGCTTGCTGTGGGAAGCCGGCAGAGAGAGGCCCTGAAGCAGGGACGATGCCCCCTGCTCGGCTCTCAAGAAAAAGGACGCCACGGGAGCAGCCGTGTGGTCCTCCGCCCCAGGCTCCAGTGTGTGAAGACGGGGACCTTGGGGACCTTGAGAACGTGTCTTCCCCACTGTCGTCTGGCTGGCACGCTCACACGGAACCCTGGCCACAGCGGTACTCTCAACCCTGTCCTCCGCCCCCCGAATAAAGCCACGTGCCGATGCTCAGTCCAGGCTGCTTGGAGCCTTCATTTGATCTGTAGCTGGTCTCGCACTTCCTGCGCCCCCCCCCCCCCCCCCCGGCGGACCGAGCGCGGGAGGCAGAGACGGTGGGGCTGGACCAGGAGCAGGAAGGAAGGGGACTCAGAGGGAAAGTGGGGCCCCGGGCTGGGTGTCTCCCCCTGGTGAAGCTTAGGGCTTTGTTGAGAAACAATGACCTGCAGGTGCAGGCAGGCCTTCTTCTGGGCAGCCAGGCTGCTGTTCTTAATTACCCCCAGATTTCCCCTAAAAAACATGATTGTATTATTTTACAGAGAAGTCCGGCAGCCCACGTGGTTTGCGCGAGAAAGCAAGCAGTTGCTGCTCGGGCCTCGGTGGGACTGGCTGGCTTCGGCGTGGGAGGGGGCTGTGGGCCCACTGAGGACCTGAGCCCCACTCCACGCTCCTCCACGTGAGACCCAAAGGAGGGGCCGGGGCCGGCTGGGAGACCGAGCACAGCATCTTCGTGCCCCGTCGGGAAGGGTTGTTGTGCAGTACTGGAAATGCAATGGGGAGGTCACTGTTGCGGAGCTTGACTAATATGCTCCAGGTGTTAGAAGAATTCAGAAATCTCAGGAATCTAGGGGCGGTGTATCTTCCCTGCAGCAAAGAAGTATAGGATTTTGCTTTGCTGAGAAGAAATTTTCCCCTTTTTGGGAAAACATAATCAGGCAGCACAACTGCATTTTATTTTAAGGGAGTTTCTGGAAGGGAAGGGGGAGAAACGGTGGGTAGAAGAATGCCCCCAGCCACACAATCAACATTTATAAATGAACCTTTATTTTAGACACTTCAATGCTGTTTGTTAGACACTTCAGTATTTTACATGTTTTTCAATGTACATTGTACCAAAATTTCTACAAATAAATAACTTTGTACATAAAAGTAATACTTCCTCTTTCACATTGCCTCTCAGAAGCAGCAAATTCACATATTTTGTGGAAGTAACAATCAGCTGACTGTTGAGAACACAATTCTAAATGTGCTTACCTTTTAGAACAGTGAGGACACTGGAGAGTACAATTTTACCATTTTGTCAGTCTGTACCTTCAGCTTTTGGGCTAAAGGAACTTGCTTTCTGAGATTTTTTAAGGACCTTGTTTTCAATGTAATTTTTCCTGAAATACACATTGGCACTCACAAGATGGTTAGCTACAGGTCTCGAAAGTGCAAATATACCCCGGCCAGGGGCCTCGATTTGTTACAGCCTCAGCCCGGGTCTGTGTGAGGGAAGGACGTGGACAGACACGCTCCGGCTCCTCAGCAGAGAGAAGCTAGCCCTGGAAAGGAGGGACTCCACCCTTTTTCTCCCCCATGGTCAATGTCACATGAATTCTATTGGCTGAACTAAAATATCACTGTTGAAAAATCCACAGGTACCAACACCAGCAGCCTCTATCTTAGTAAAATAAGCCTCTAAAGGACAATCGAGTGAGACCGACGACCACATCTGCTTTTCCCAGGGAAGGCAGGCAGTGCTTCGTTGTTTGGAACAAAGGCTTGCAGTGGATCAACAACCCTCCCTTCTGCTTGGCAAGGAACTCCAACTCACAAAAGCCTGGAGGGCAGAGGTCCAGGGCGACACGGGCATCTCAGGACACCGCAGGGAGGCGAGCTGCGCGAGCATCCCCAGTGAGTGATGCTGACGGGAAGTGAAAGCCGATGCACACGAAGGAGGGCCCGGGCTGGGCCGCATCCTCGGGGGCTGTCCCGGCGAGTACAAGGCAAACCCCAGGACTTCCCTTCCGCCCCGCCCTCCAGACACTCCTGGGAGCAAATGTGGTTTTTAGCTTCTACAAATTCCATCCATGCATTAAGGCACCAGAGCTCCTCCCCACCCCCCGTTCCAAAATTAAACAGCAACCTGATACGAAAAATATTGTCAAAATTGTATGTTTTTTTTTTTCTGTTAACCATGCACTAAAGATTAAAATCGCCTCTGCAAAAGATATATAATATATAGGAAATCTCTGAAAACTCTTATGTACAAGGGTATCAAATACTTTTCTGCTTTTGTACACAACAGCCTCTTGCGGTTCTGGGCTTCAGCTGCAAGTCCTTTAAACCACGGACACTCCACATGGAAGTTTAAAAACTCTGTACACATCAGTGACGCTTGAACTCAAGCTTCCTTACAGCCTCTCCTACTACCTCTCCTTCCTGTAGAGACGGACACAAGAGCTGAGGTAGACCAAGCCTAGATCTTCGGTGGAAAGAGCAGGGGCGCGCCCCGCTTCCCTGGAGGCTGTCCTGTCAGCGCTGGGGACTCGGGGCTGGCGTCGCACACCTGGGGGAGGTGTCCGTTGGAAAGAAGCAAGTGCTGGCCTTCGCTGGGGACGTCAGGAAAGCCCGAGGTGGCTTCAGAGAGCTCAGGACTGCCCGGAGTTAATGTCGAGGGAGGCTGGAGGTCTCTCGAGTCCGGCTCACACAACCTTGCCAAAGTCCACGGAGAGGCCCCTGTGAGAAAGGAGGGGCCGCGTCAGAGCTCCAGGCTGGCCTCTTCCCCGCCCCCACCCCGCTGCGGGTGCCACCCTGGAAGGCCATGAACGTCTACCTTTCCCATCTGGAGGCGCCAGTGGCTTTTTCTTCAAGGATGTCGGCATTCTGTCGTGGTTACTGGGGTAGAGGGACCTCCTGCAGTCGGCGCGGGACCCGTCAGCAGTCCCACTGGTTAGAGGCGGCAGAGAATGTTCTCGGTGTGTCTGACTGGGCCCCTGGCTACTGAGTGTGCCTGGCTGTGTACTCTCTCTGCTCATAGGCGGAGGATAGAAAGCTTGCTCCTTGGAATAACCGTCCACACCAGCGTTGCCGTCCCCGCATGCCACCGGGCCGCCGTGCTCTGCAGGACAGAGCAGAGACGGATCACAGCCACCGCCCCCGAGCTGTGCATCCCCGCCCAGAACAGAGAGCTGCATCCCTGGCTGGGAGGCCACAGCCCTGCTTAGACCACCTCTCTCAAACCTCCCCTCTCCCCCAGGCATGGTCACAGGAGGAGGACTGGGTAGATACCAAGCCATTAAGGAAGAATGGGCCCTCCGTGTTTCAACCGTTCAGAGGAATTGCTTCATGGGAGAAAGTGGTCCTACTCTTCCATCACAGAAAAAAAATCCGACCGCATGACACACCACGTGCTGTCAGGAGTCTTCAGAGTAATTAGAAATACAGCCTCAAAAATAGGCCTGGTGAAAAGGTGCTTCAGGTTGGCCTTTCCCTTTACAAAACTGGAAAGTTCAAGCCCAGGCTCACCACCCCACAGATTGACGTAAGAGACCTGCTACCTCGGAATCAGGAGAGCTAGGCCCCAGCTTCCTGTTCATACACCTAATACCAGATTCTGAGACAGTCCTAGACCCATAACGCATCTCTTGCTTTCATTTCATGAATAGGTCTACCTGAATTTTGATTTTGAGAACTGAAAACTCTTGCCGAGGAGAGCAGCTCTTACCCGTCTTCTGTGGTCCCGGCCTCTGCGGCACTTTCTCCATCACGGTCCAGGGCTCCTTGTTCGAGCCCCCGCACAGCTTCGGCTGCCTGCACGTGATGCCGTGAGCGTCCGCCTCTGAGAAGAGGCTGGCGTCCCTTGGACAAGTACCTGCAGTAGATTCCCACAGTTAGAAACGATGGGCTTAGCTGGACAGAGGATGCTTGATGAGAACAAGCGGCAGGAACTACTCGAACAAGTCCTCTTGACAATGGTCTTTAAAGTGGGTGCCTGCTGACCAGCAAGGAGCATTGGTAACACAAGCCACCCCGGCAGGCAGGCCTTTCAGTGTTCAGGCTGTGCCGGGGAGCGGTTCCTGTGAGGACAGACGTGCCCCCTGTAAGCACTCAATCTCCCTGGTAGCGGTAGCTCACCCTGGGAGAGCTTTCTGGTAGCAGAGATTGGACCAGAGAGCAGGCCTGCGCCCGGCCTTTACTCAACAAATGGACTGGTTTCAGGGCCTGTAATGTCCTTTGCAGCTTATTCAATCCTACCTTATCTTGACCAGGAGATGCTGAGCCCAATAGATCAACTTTCTGGGGGTTGGATTTTTAAAACCTTGGAGAACATGCACAGGGTAGGGCCAAAAAACCCCAACAGAAGGCTCCAGTCTGCCAGCCTTCAAGGTCAGATGCGCTCAGCATAAGGCCGTGCACCTGCCCTGGGTGGGGGCGGGGGGCTCCTGAGGACAGGGTCGCATTGGGCTCTGAGGCCTTACCGTTGCTCTCGATGTGCCCGTTGGCCTGATGGCCACCCTCAGTCCTGGTCACAGTTTCCTGCCGGTCAGAAAGAGTTCCCTGAGACGAGAGGTAGCTTGGAACATCCGGTGGCACGATGGTTTCATCTGCAAGGAGATAGGACAGTCAGATAGCAGGTGTCCCCATCCTCCGTGGGAACAAGACGTGACAACACCCATTTGCGATTGGGCCCAGACACAAGCTTCTCCCAACAGCAGCCGCCCAAGCTGTGCGGAGAGATGGTCTGGGGGGCCCAGCTCAGCCTCACTTTCCACCTGGGTGTAAAAAACACAGCTGTTGGAGGTCTGAGTCTGAGAGAGTGTGATCGAGCACACAGGGACGGTGAAGGAGCCAGAACAAGCAGAGGCATGACCCCAGGAGGTCACTGCGGTGACAAGCCAGCACGTGGCTGCCGTGCACAGGCCCGAGGCACCCTGCCTCCTCGCCAGCAGCGGCTGACCTGTGTTGGTGACACTGTACTCCTCGCTCTTCTTCCTGGTCTGGTAGATGATGCACACCCAGACCAGCGACGTCAGGACGATGCTGCACACCACGGCGATGGTGAAGATGCCCACGGCGCTGCCGTCCCTCCTGCAGCCGGGGGCGGGCACGATGCTCAGCCGGCTGTGTGCGCGCTCCGTGCCCAGGGTGTTGGAGATCTCGCACGTGTACTGGCCCGCGTCCTCCACCACCACGTTCTGAACAACGAGCAGCTGGTTGCCGGGCGTGAAGTGGTGCCGCTCGGTGAGGCT